AAAAAAAAAAAAAAATCCTGCTGTGTAATCTAAAGCCCAGCAGATATGATTGGTTATATTAACATAGAAAATATTCTTTGAGCACCTATTATGTACTATACAAATTGTCTCAATCCTTTGTGAAATGAGAAATTAAATGTATAGATTTAAGTGTGCTAGACCCTTCATTTCAGCCCTTCCTGTATATATATAAACTTTTATAAGACTTTGGTCATGATACTCCATCAATCCTCTTATCATAGACCATGAGCATTTGAGAGCTAATCAACTGACTCTGCAACATAAATAGGGTATGGCAGTGCCTTATAAATTTGTTCTCTTCATCCAGACAAATGGCTTTAAATACTGTCTGTATGCATAGACTAAACAGGAAATGCTCTAGTTACGTACCTCTCCTCCTCTTATCTTCCGTTCTCAATCCTAGGAATTACATCACTTTTTATATACTGTTGTTAGTTGCCGTTGAGTCAATTCTGACTCGTGGTGGGTGGCCCCATATGTGGAGAGTAGAACTGCTCCTTAGGGTTTTTGACTTTTTGGAAATATATCACCAGGCCTGTCCTCCACGTTATTTCTTGGTGAGTTTGAACCACCAGCCTTTCAGCTGGTAATTGAGCATAGAATGGTTTGCACCACCCAGGAAACCTTCTTTATGTCCTAGGGTTTTGTATAATGTTTATAGTCCAGTAAGGGTAATATATCAATCACAGATAACCATAGTACAAACCAGAATCAGTGCCACAAACAAGGAAGAAATCACTTTTTGCTGTGAGCATTACGTACACTTAGATTACTCTATAGAGAGCTCTGGTGGTGTAGTGCCTAAGGCATCTGACTGCTAACCAGAAGGCTGGTAGTTCAAACCCACTAGCCACTCCTCAGAAGGAAGGTTGGGCAATCTACTCCGGAGTGATACTACCTGGGAAACCCAAGGAGGGTTTGCTATGAGTCGGATCCAACTCAATGGCAGTGAGGTTTCTTTTTTCTTTTTTCTTTTTTTTTGGTAGATAACTCTATGCTATGAGGATGAGGTAGCACTTGAAATGGGCTTTGAAGAAGGAGTGTGAGATGTGGAATTAATGATGTCTAGTTTTTTTACTTCTTGATGTCTTTATTGCAAATAGCTTAAATTCACAAGTGCTGTATTATTTGATTTGTATTCCAAAGTCTTAAATACTACCTACAATCAGTTCATCTGTGTTTGATCTTGAATCATTCATCAGTTGATTTATACAAAGGAATGTATCTTGTGGGATTATCAGTGAGCTCTCTA